TGTATCTTTGAGTAGAACCATGCCCTCCCAACCCATTTACCTGGACCTCAGCGGGGATGAGAGAGGACATGGCCCCATGGAGGTTGTCTTCAGCGGCTTGTCCATCTGGAGCAGAGCCATTTCCCACACCAAGATATAGAGACAGTAGCAGCCTGCAGATTAATTCAAATTCTCTCTGAGTCACATGAAATCACCCCGCTTTACAAGTCCATGAGGCCTTTACAGGCCTTGCCTGTGGAACCCACTCGGCAAGTCACAGGGCTCTAGAAGACTCAAGTTGGCCAGGATCTCAGAGATCATCCCACCCCACCCATGCCATGGGGAATAAGAGGGCCCCTAGAGGGAGGCCCATATGGGGTCTGAGCCTCTTGGCACCTGCCATAGAATAATGCATTTTCCTCTTCTGGGGACGAGGAGCAATAATAAATTGTGATCATTTCACTACCCAAAGTCATTGAGCCTTCCCATAAGACACTGTGGAAGAATGAATGTATATGAATCCTGCCCAGAGCTCTTCTGATATGGACAGTCCCCTAATAACGAAGGCCCAAACTGGTTCCTTTATCTCCCAAAGAAAAAGTCTATCAGGAGGTGTAATAAGGTTACATTAAAAAGAGAAGTCGTGTGAACATTTTGCCACTGGATAAAACCTGGGCACTGGGAAAGATCACTGGGTAAGGTCAGAACACTCTATCACTGGCCTGTGGCAGGTAGCCAGAAAATTCCTTAAAGGGGCTGTGCTGTGGGCTGGGCACTCCCGTGTCACCCCCTTTGTTACCTATTGCCAATTTTAAGGAGCAACACCAGTGTCTGACCCAGGATCTTTCATACCACTGAGGATTCTCACCTTCAGGTAGATGGCTGAACATGCCAGGCATAGCTAAATATTATTGGGCATTCCATCTGATAAAGGATAAAGGATAAAAAACAGAGGATAGAGGATGGGTGAAAACCATTTGACCAATTTTAGTTGCTTGGAGTCGTGAAATTTCCATCTTATTGCAATGAGAGGGATTCGAGTATGGTACAGTGCAGAGCAGATAGGCATGCCTACTGTAGTCTTCCGGCCATCCCCAGGCCTCAGGGAAGAACCTACCAGCTCCCTGGGGGCCAGTAGAGACACATACAATGCTGAAGGGCTCTGTACTGGGCCATGTTCCCAACCTCCCTCTTCCCTTCCTGGGACGATGGAGCATTGTGGCTCAGAAGGTCCCCTGGAGCCCAGGACCCCACTATCAGAAAGAACACCTTGGGTTTATTGGACCAGGCTTCTGGCAGCTGGACTCCTGCTTCTCACTTCCACTCTCCTCCATTCCTTTTCTGCCCTGCACTAGAATGAGTTTCTAAAAATGCAAACTGGATCCTGTCACTCTTCAAGGTTAAATAAACCTCAACAGCCCTTAGGTCAGAGATCAAAATTCTTCAATGGCTTCTCAAGCCTACCTGTCCAAGCTCAGCTCATGTCACTCTTGCCCTAGATCTCTGAGCTCCAGCTCTCCTGGCCCTCTACCGGTTCTTTCGGAGCACATGCTGCAGTTTATAACTGGCTTTTTATCACACATCTGACCTATTAGACCTAGTAGACCTAGTAGACCTATGAGACTGTAAGCTGTAAGCTCTGGGAGGGGAAGGCCCTCTCATTTGCTTACCTTTGTATTCCCTGTGCCTAACACAGTGCCAGACCCAGGACCTGAAAACAGGGTAGGTGTTGGACACATACTTACTGAATAAACGAAACACCAGCCTCTGACACTTAGAGTTAGAAACACACACACACACACACACACACACACACCCTAGAGTAGAAGAGGTCAAACACCTCGCTTCTCAGAACATATGCAGAGGCAGCCCCTACAGCATTAGCAAAATGCTGATGAGTATGTGTAAATACTCAGCGGCCTCCCTTGGAAGATGGCCCTTTCAGAGCAGACCAGGTGGTCTTCTCATCATCTCCTGGGCCTTGCTTCCCCTCCACAATCCTTAAGAAAATCTGTTAACAGCAGCCATCCTACCCCCAATTCCCATCTCCCATCCCCACATCCTCAAAAACCCAACCATCTGCCTGCCACTTTCAGCCCCCAGGTCCCCGCTTCTATCCTGAGAAAGCTCACCTTCTCCCAGAAGGCCTCCTGGTTGCACGACTCCCAGGGTCTCCCCCTCTCAGGGGAGTGCACCCCCGTAGTAGAACTTCGGGATCATGCCCTTCTGTCTAGTTCCCGAACTTTGTTGCCTATTTGGTGCCATTTTGGGTTGTGATTCCCAAGGTGGGAGGTGGCTTTATGTATTTGTGTGACTTAATAATCAAGGGTCTCAAGGGATCAGCTTAGCTGCAAAATTAGGGCTTTGGGTGGTGTACCCCACCCCTGCTAAAAGCAGTTATCTAAACCAGGCACCATGGAACAAACCTAATCAAGCCAGTTTAGCTAAGAGCTTAGAGCTTTGCAAACCGAGGAGCTGGATGAGCTAATGTCACAGGACCCTTCCATCTCTGACCTCTGCAGAGGCTAGGGCATTAACCCTGGGGCGGGGGCCCTGCCCTGCCAAGCCTGGGCCCGAGCAGGAGGAGGGAGGCGGGGTGAGTGGGAGGGGTGAAGAGAGCCTGGGCAGTCCGCAGTGACCTACATCTGCTCCCAGCACCGCCGGTCCACCAGCAGTCCATTCAGAGTCTCGGGCAGCGTGCAGCAGCTGGAAACAGGGAGGAGGGAGCAGACAGGAGGCTGGAGGGCAGCAGTGCACCAGGTAAGTGGGCACTGCACACCTGGCTGCCTACACCGGGCAGAAATGGAGATGCTGGAATGCTCTCTAACTTTCTACTCAGGAAGGGGCAGCAGCAGGCATGAGATCAGCCTGGGGAACAGTGAGCTATAAACAGCTGATTATACCATGGGGTGCAGGCTTAGTCCCCTCTAAGTGACTCCAGGATATTTGGAAGAGAGAGCTTCAGTGAGTCCTGTCCAGGTGGTTCTGTCCTGGCTCTGATTTTCCAGGCACTGTTTGGCTTAGGGTGTGAAATGACGACCAGGTTAAAAATCTGACTAGCTATCCAGAATGAGGACCTCCGATCTAGGATTTGTGACGTCTTGATTGGTAACATGGTCAAAACAGTTGAGACCAACCCCATTTGGCTCTTCCTGCCTCAACCCTACCAGTCTGGAAGGTGGGAGCAGCAGCTACCCACAGACACAAGACGAAGGCAGGTGGGGCAGGGAGGGGGAGGGGGCTGTGGGTGCTGGAGAGACCAGGAGACCAGCGGGCCAGGGCTAAGAGTCATGGTGGGATAAGCTGAAGTGAGGACACTGCTGTTGTTTGGCTCTGAGAAAAATTGGGGTTTTTTCTCAAAAGGGGAAATGAATCATGGGAAGAGAGAGTTTCTTTCCCCAGCCCCTCTAACTGAGACCACATCCCTCTAGTCTCCAACCAAGCAGACCTCTTGCCTGTTTGTCACTAACCGGGTCCCAAATCTGGCTTCCTGAAGAGAATGGAGGTCTAGAGGGTGAGATGGCTTCACATGAGCCCCTTAAGTTCCCAGAGGGGTCTCCCTTCTCAGCTGGGACCTGCAGGCAGGAGGCCGGAGGGAGAGCAGCCATGTTAGCATTACACTTCATGTGTGGCGTACGGAAGAATAAGGGACTGAGAGCTGGTCGTGGGGCTGACGGAGGTGATGAGGAAGATGAAGAGGACAGCTAAGGTGTCCATGTTAAATTCAAATTACACCAGGGCAGGGATCGTGGACAGGTGCAAGATGAGGTACTGGAGAACAGACGGGACGCAGACCCCTGCAGCTCCCACCACTCGTAGTCAGCTGCGTTCTCCTCTGCTGGTGGCCGCTCCATCCTCGCCCTCCCTCCTGACTCCCTGCTGCGCGGCGGCTGTAGCCCTGTGACCGCTCCAGAACGCAGTTGGCGCGCCATGGCATTCCAGCGCACTGGGGGGCAGCCGCTGGGCTATAGATGGGACACCTTGAGGCCAGAAGTGCCAGTGGGTGGGCAGTTGTGAAATGGAAGTGTCAGTTGGAGGGAGGAATTTGCTCTGTCATGTGTGATTCTATCCTGGACACAAGGCTCTTTGGGCAGGGAATGGCGTCTTCAAAATGGAACCCGTTGGCCACGGGCCAACCGTACAGGAGGTAGGACTACTGGAGAACTCTTTCAAGAAATCCACCCCCCTCCAAGTCATGGCCCTTATCAAGGCTCTCATCTCAGCCCAGAGCCAAGCCCCCTCTCTCCCCGGGGGTGGCACTCCCCAGCAGCCATGATGGAAGGATGCGATTGTGAGAAAATCAGGGGGAGAGAGTGGTGATGATGGCTGGGAGAGCCTGGAAGGCATTGTGTTCACCTGACGCCATAATTCACTGGCTTCGGAGGGGAGCGGATGGATTTATGAGGATCCTGTCAGCCTGGGTCAAGAAGAGCTAAAGAGCAGCTAACTGAGGGTGCTCCCCCACCGACACAATGATCAAAAGCATTCCAGATTGGTTGAGGGTGGGAGGTAGAAGGCTGCTGAGCCCTGCTAGAAAATCTCAGAGCTGGGGTTGGAGCCAAGAGCTCCAGAGAATATCCAGGGAAAATTGATATTCCATAGTCAAGAGGGAGCAGGCTGCACAATCCCTAAAGAAATCCTAGATGACAGGCATTTGATTTCCTGAAGTTCAGGAAGGCTGTGTCTCACCCTCTGAGTGGCCACTGGGTTTGGGGACCCAGCCAAAGGCCAGGCCAGTGGCCTAAGTTGCAGGTTCAGCACCGTGGGCTCCGTTACCTGGGAAATGTACAACTGAGCAGCAGCCCACCCTCTTCCAGGCTCAGGGAAATTGGTTTTGCCAGGGCAGGGACTGGCAGGACACTGATTGGTACCATTAGGTGGGGTTAGTTAGACAAGCTCTCAGGGCACAGCAGCTCTACCCAGCTCCCAGGCGAGAGACCAGCCAATGCATGGACAGTGTGTGTGGGGGGTAAGAACAGCCTGCACCTCTCATAAGGAATTCTGTCTTCTGTTCTCAGCAGATCAGTTGCCACCTTCAGTAACCAAAGAGGAACCTAAACTATGGCAGGTGAGAGAAGAGCTAACCTCCCCGCACCCCCATCCCAGTACCTCACTGGCGCTCCTCATGCGATAGAGACAGAGAAGGGCTTGGAGATCTTTGGGAACTCATCTGTCTCTTTTTCTAGGCTTGGCTTTCGGTTTTAACTTGTTTTCCTGAATAAAGGATGCCCAGCTCCCCCATGTGAGCCCCTTCCCATTCTCCCTTCTCTAGCTTTACCCCAGTGACGCTCCCAGGGTCTTCGTTAGGTGCCCCTGCCCACTTCCCAGGGACTCCATGCACACTGCTGGAGGACCACTACCTGAGTCCACTAGAAAAGTCCAAAGCCCTGCTCACAGGCGGGAGCAGTGGGAGACAATCCCGCTTGATGGTGGGATAGGGAGGAGGGGCTCAGGTTCCTTGGGTTCTTGCATCAGTGCTCCATTGTATTAAAGGGCCACCCACGAGGAAGAGTAGGGAGGGTTCATCTCCCTTTCTCCCACCTTCTAGAGAAGGCCCCCAGGAAGTCTGCCCTTCATGGGGTGAGCATCCGGCAGCTGGTGGAGGAGATCCCCGAAGGCTGCAGCACACCAGACTTCCAGCAGAAGCCCGTCGCCCTGGCGCTGCAGGAAGGTGAGACCCGGGAGGGGAGCTGCTGAGAGCCTGAAGGAGGGGGCTCAGTCCCATCCTTCCCAGCCTGCCTTCCGGCCCCCCTATCCAGCGCCAGGCCACACCATTTCTCCCTCTACTTGTGGGGGTGCCTTCCTGGGTCCCCAGAAGGGGCGAGGGACCTAAGGGGCAGAATGGGCAAAGGGAGTGAAGATACACTCTAGTATGCTGAAATGAGAGATATTTGGGAACAAGGTTGAGGGCTGTTCACTGGGAAGCGGGAGAGGTGGTGGTGTTTCCGAGCTCCCCTCCCTGAGCCTGGGCACAGGGCAGCTGCTGCAGACGTTATTAAAATGAGATTCATGAGAGGAGTGCCCAGGAAAGTGATGGGAACAAAGACTTTTGAGCGAAGGCGTGAGAACTGGTGGCCTTTTCCCAGCACAGGTTCCTACAATACCTTGCAATTTACATCATTTTGGTACAGGAAAAAGAAGAGCACTTTATTTTTCTAAATCTGATTCTAAGTCCTCACTCAAAATACAAACAAAGGTCACGAGCAAGTGCCTGCCATCACAGGGGAGGGCCCTTGGTCTTCACTCTGCACTGCTCTCTCGGGAGATGTTCCTGGCAGGAGCCCAAGGGATTTCTTGAGGGTAGGAAGCTCCCAGCCTCCCATGCCAAACACAGAGCTTGGGCTCTTTCCTGAGGCTGGAACCCTGTGCCTCGGGGTCATCCCACCTTGAGAGGACTTGGAACTCCCAAAAGACCCGTCCCCTTCCCGGCCCTGGGAAAGACCTTCAGACTCTTCCCTTACCCTTGCAAAGAAGCCCACCCGTCCACCCCAAGCCCCGCTTGCCTCCCCTTCCACCGTGGACTGTCCAGCCGCACCTTTGCCTCAAGGAGCCCACACCCTGGGATGCAAAAGCCAGGCGCCGTCTGTCTTCTGGACGTCTGGAAACTGCTGCTTTCTGCCTGGCGTCCTAAGAGTCCTTGAGTCAGGGCGCCAAGGCCAGACATGCTTCTTGGAATGGGCAGTTGAAAACCCTAGAGCCACGAACACAACAAATTAAGGTCTCAAGAGAGTATACTCTCAGCCCTCCCCCAGGTGGCCAATCTTTTGACCACCTTTTCCTGCCACAGGGAAAAATGCCATCTTCCGGGCCCTGGTCTGTGGGGAGCCCCAGCCTGAGGTCCATTGGCAGAGCACCAAAGGTCACCTCAGTAACTCCAGCAAGTACCACATCTCCTCCTCCCCCAGCGGCAAAGAGCATGTGCTACAGGTAAGATGGGCCGCTTCCCCCTCCCCCAACCCCCCAACCCAGGTCTACTAGTCCTTCCCTGGGCCTTTGAAGGGCTCCTCGGCGACCTGCAGGACCCAGAGGACTATGAGATGCTCCCCTTTGGGGTTGGGCCCACTCAGCTCCGTCCTGTGACCCAGGTGGCCAGAGCCGGGTGGGGACCCGCCAGGCCTGCAGGTACTCTGCTGATACCCTGGCAGGTGGCAGAGGCTGGAGTCTGACTACCTGGGTTCCAACCCCAGGCCCATCATCTTGGCCTTGGCAAGTTCCTTACTTCTCCGTACTTCCGTTTCCTCCCCTGTGACGGCAGGGGGGAGAGGGGGTGTAATAATAGTACTTACTTCGCAGTGTTGTCATGGGTATGAAAAGTTTATGTAAAGTATCTCACCAGTGTTTGGCCTCCAGGGGGTTCTCTATCCGCGCCGGCCAATATTAGTAATAATTAGAGCTACGAGTCACAGAACACCCACTCTGTGCTGGGCTTTGGGCTAAACATTTGACAGAGACTATATCATTTACTCCTAACCATTCACTACTTTTGGAGGCATTATTATCCTCACCTTATAAAAAAGTAAGGATCAGAGAGGTTAGGTAATTTACCCCAGGTCCCACAGCCCATACTACACGACAGAGATGATATTCAGTCCCAGACCCATTTGACCCCAAAAGCCATCTCTTTCTGCAACACCAGGTTGCCTCTGCTGGCCAAAAGTCCCTCAAACTGCCAATGGTACATCCGCTCCCTGTCACCCCCCCCCCCCCCCCCCCTCGGACCCCCCGGCGCGTGTTTTTACCTCTAAGGCTGCTCTGGTGTC